AATTGTAAACAGTTCCGGAACTGTCCTTTGAAAGTAAAACCTCAAAAAGACAGCACGCTCAAAAGTTTCAATTTACCGCCAAGGAGGAGGAAATCGCTATCCTTTCCTTTCTCTCTTAGTTTCTCAGATTCCTTCCAGAGAAACCCCAACATTAATAAACTTGAAGACAAAGACTTGTGAACTTTTAACCACTTGTGTACCTACTGTTTTCTTTCCTGAACTCTGTGCTTAAATGCATGGCACGGTAACTGTGGGGCTCGTGTTGAATACACCTTTTCCTACCTTCGCTCCGTGTTCTTCACTGCATCCGTGTTCCCTCGTCGAACCCTCTGTTGTGGCCTGTGTGACTGACTGTGTGTGTTCCACTCTTATTCCAGCACGTTAAATTACCGGTCCATTTGCCTTCGTCGTCCTGCGCATTACACATTTTGGTGACAGAGGTGGGATGATGCTGCCCAAATTTAACTCCGATGATGTTTTTGAACCTCCTGTAATAAGGCCAGACGAGAAATCTTTTGGTGTCCAGCCTCCACCCACTCCTCCAGAACGATTCACTGTTGGTACCGACCTGGAAACTTGGAAATGGAGAATGGACCTTTGTCTGAGTGCTGTCCCTCAGTCTAAACGCGGACCTTACATTCTTCCTCACTTGGACCCCAGAGTCCAAGAAGTCTTAATGTCATCAAGTTTTTTAGTCAGTTCCTCAGTCGAGGACATTTAAGAAAAGCTGCGTTCTTTGCTCGGCCTTGGGGTTTCTCGGGAAGGAATTTGAAAAAAAGAGAGAAAGGAAAAGATAGCGGACATTGGATAAGTTGATGCGGGGGCACTACACTACTCCCCCCTTATTGTTAGGTGTTGTCCTCAACACCTGCAGGCAACTGTTGTACCGGATCGGTTGTCTCAGCCATTATCTCCACGTTCTCAACAGCCTCTGGTACGGTTAATGCAAGATTGCGAGTATGCTCCGGGCCAGTGTAACTCAGGGTAGCAGGTTTCAGTCGATTAAAGTGGACCACAATAGAAGGACGAGAATCACAGGCACTGTCCGTGATGCGGCAGGTGCAGTCGTCATACACCTCATTAACAACGTATGGTCCAGCCCATTCCTTATGTACCTTCGATGAATGGCCGGGTGATGGTACGGTTGAGTGTAACTAAACCAGTTGTCCGGGCTGCACGGGTGTACCCTCTACCTTGCGGTCGTAATAGCCCTTCTGGTGCCTCTGAGCATTATCCAAGCAGTTTCGTGCGAAGTGATGTGCGCGGTGTGACTCATTTCTCAATTTCGTGACGTAATTTGTGGCTAGCAACGGGTTAACCGCCAAGCGAGGTAACGTTAAGTCGAGAGGGAGCCGTATCTCTCTACCAGTAAGCATGAAATGGGGAGATTGGGTAGTCGAGGCGTGTACGGTGGAGCGGTAAGCTAGCAAGCAATGTGGAAGAGCGAGATCCCAGTCGTGCGCATGGTGTCCGTCGATGAAAGCCTTAAGCAGTGCCTTAAGAGATCTGTTAACGCGTTCCACTGTGCCGTTTCCCTGTGGATGATATGCAGTTGTAAGTGTTTTACGAATGCCCAGCAACTGACACAACTCTGACACGACTATACTCTCGAAGTTCGAACCTCGATCCGAATGTATCTGCTCTGGGGGCCCCCAACGTGCGATCCATTGTACAAAAACAGTCCGCGCAACAGTAACCGCATCAGTACGTGCTAAAGGGGTGGCCTCACACCACTTGGTAAAATGATCGACGAGGACCAAAATAAAGCGGTTTCCTCGAGTCGTCATAGGTAAGGGTCCCATGATGTCAACCGCTACCGTTTGATTTGGATACCCCGTCAAAATTGGTTGTAGAGGTGCACAGTTGGGTCTCCGGGGTGGTTTCGCACGAAGGCAGTCGTGACATCTATTGCAAAAGTTTACAATATCTCTGCGTTGGCAAGACCACCAGAATCGCTGTTCGACGGCTTCTTCCATTTTTGTGGCGCAGGATATCGGTGCGTCCAAGTGGGGTTCCCGCCCAAGCAAAAGCGGAGGAGTTTTTCTGTACGATGTTACGCAACATTTTAAGCACAATGGGAGAAATGGTGTCTTGGAACGATAGTAGGAAAGCTTCCATTTGTGAATCTACGGAGGTGGGCACTTCGTTAGCGGCACACACATGGTCGTGTTCAGTATGGGCTGAGACGATTGGGAGGTGACATTTAGCCAATCGTAGACGTTCGTTGGCCAAATCAATTGAACACCCTAGGTGATGTAAGAAATCGGCACCGAGCACAGCATCCCAGGGTAGTTGGGAGGAAACAAACATAGGATGCGTCATTTTGCAATCCCCTATGAGAAGTCCAACGGTAGTGATACCGAGTGTTTTGAGTATGGTGCCATTTGCGGTTTTTAATTGGTGCAAATTGTTAGGTTCTAGGGAATGGTCACATAGTTATGGTTTGATTAGGGAACATGTAGCACCAGTATCAATCAAAGCATACACTGAGTTAGAGCCGACTAACACGTTTACAAAAGGTTGCCTTGAACTTGGCGTAGGATAGATGCAAGGAACGAATTCAGACTTACCAAGACGTAATCGATCGTTCCGGCTTTGGGTGTGGGGGACAGTTGAGGGAGAAGCGATGTTTGCGTTATGGCCACACACTCGAGCTTTTAATCCAAATTTAGCGCAGTAATAGCATCCCTTCTGGGTGTTCGACATTCGTGGTCGGCCTGGTGACAACCATGATCGGTTCGATGGCATCCGTGAACAACTCACCAAGTTATCATTGGACCGCCTAGATTGTCTTACTAATGCTGCTGCCTCGTATTTGTGGCCGATAGCGACGGCCTCCTCGACGGAATTGGGTGATTCACGGGCATGGGCTTCGCAGGTTTCTTCATCAATAACCCATTGGACTAAACGCTCAAGGACAAAGGACTCACGAACGGTGACCGACAAGTTGCCGAAAGCACGTACGGCTAAACAGCGTAGATCAGTTACGTAGTTGTCCAACAACTCCTACCAGTTGGGACCTGGACCAAAACTGATGCTTTGCCCCAGGGTGAGAAACCCCGCCGCCGAACAAAGAACGCAGCTTTTCCCAAATGTCCTCGACTGAGGAACTGACTGAAAAACTTGATGACATTAAGACTTCTTGGACTCTGGGGTCCAAGTGAGAAAGAATGTAAGGTCCGCATTTAGACGGAGGGACGTAACTGATCTACGCTGTTTAGCCGTACGTGCTTTCGGCAACCTGTCGGTCACCGTTCGTGAGTCCTTTGTCCTTGAGCGTTTAGTCCAATGGGTTATTGATGAAGAAACCTGCGAAGCCCACGCCCGTGAATCACCCAATTCCGTCGAGGAGGCCGTCGCTATCGGCCACAAATACGAGGCAGCAGCATTAGTAAGACAATCTAGGCGGTCCAATGATAACTTGGTGAGTCGTTCACGGATGCCATCGAACCGATCATGGTTGTCACCAGGCCGACCACGAATGTCGAACACCCAGAAGGGATGCTATTACTGCGCTACATTTGGATCAAAAGCTCGAGTGTGTGGCCATAGCGCAACATCGCTTCTCCCTCAACTGTCCCCCACACCCAAAGCCGGAACGATCGATTACGTCTTGGTAAGTCTGAATTCGTTCCTTGCATCTATCCTACGCCAAGTTCAAGGCAACCTTTTGTAAACGTGTTAGTCGGCTCTAACTCAGTGTATGCTTTAATTGATACTGGTGCTACATGTTCCCTAATCAAACCATAACTATGTGACCATTCCCTAGAACCTAACAATTTGCACCAATTAAAAACCGCAAATGGCACCATACTCAAAACACTCGGTATCACTACCGTTGGACTTCTCATAGGGGATTGCAAAATGACGCATCCTATGTTTGTTTCCTCCCAACTACCCTGAGATGCTGTGCTCGGTGCCGATTTCTTACATCACCTAGGGTGTTCAATTGATTTGGCCAACGAACGTCTACGATTGGCTAAATGTCACCTCCCAATCGTCTCAGCCCATACTGAACACGACCATGTGTGTGCCGCTAACGAAGTGCCCACCTCCGTAGATTCACAAATGGAAGCTTTCCTACTATCGTTCCAAGACACCATTTCTCCCATTGTGCTTAAAATGTTGCGTAACATCGTACAGAAAAGCTCCTCCGCTTTTGCTTGGGCGGGAACCCCACTTGGACGCACCGATATCCTGCGCCACAAAATCGACACTGGGTCAACGGCCCCGATCACCCATAGTGCCCGTCGGGTCCCTGTCCAGTACCGGCAGGAGCTCGAGAGTATGATAAAGGAGATGTTGGATGCAAAAATCATTACCCCGTCGAAATCGCCATGGGCCTCACCCATGGTTCTGGTTAAGAAGAAGACAGGCACGCTACGCCTATGTGTAGATTATCGCAAACTTAATGAAGTGACTCACAGGGACTCGTTTCCATTGCTTCGGATCGACGACACCTTGGAAATCCTCGATGGTGCTTAATGGTTTTCAACTTTAGATCTTGCATCGGGATATTGGTAGGTGGAGGTCGATGTACAGGATAGAGAGAAAACAGCTTTCATACTACCAACGGGACTGTATGAATTCCAAAGCATGCCGTTCGGATTGTCAAATGCACCCGCCACATTCCAGCGGTTAATGCATATCGTGTTGCGATCTTGGATCCCACACCACTGTTTAGTGTACTTAGATGATGTGATCGTGCAAGGTCGTTCCTTGGAGGAACATTTGGCGAATCTCGATAAGGTTTTACGTAGCCTTTCGGACGCTGGTCTTAAATTGCGACCACAAAAGTGCCAACTCCTAAAAAAGGAAGTAACGTTCCTTGGACATGTTATCACTCCGGAGGGGATCCAAAGTGATCCGGAAAAGATTAGGACTATAAAAGACTGGCCGACTCCAAGAACCACAGAAGAGGTGCGTCAGTTTCTTGGCCTGGCTTCATACTACCGACGGTTTGTCCGTAATTTTGCTGATATCGCGGGACCGCTACACCGCCTTACAGAGAAAGGGAGGCCTTTTCGTTGGACCCCCCAGTGCGAACAGGCGTTCGATGCCCTACGACAATTGCTCACAACGTCGCCGATTTTGGCGTTTCCCGATCTGTCCCCATCAGCTGGTCCATTTATCCTCGGCACGGACGCGAGTGATACAGGAATTGGGGCTGTCCTATCCCAGAAAGGAGCGGATGGGTTGGAGCACGTGATAGCGTACGGCAGTAGATGTTTGAGTAAACCCAAGCGCAATTATTGTGCAACGCGCAAGGAGATGCTGGCTTTGGTAGTATATACAAAACACTTTCGACACTTCTTGCTGGGTCGACATTTCATCGTCCGCACAGACCATCATTCTCTGAAGTGGTTGCAAAACTTTCGTGATCCAGTGAGACAGGTTGCCCGCTGGCAGGAGCAGTTACAAGAGTATGACTACGAATGTGTTCACAGACCTGGTAAGCGACACACTAATGCCAACGCGCTCTCTCGGCGAAGAGGCCATCATCAAGTGGGCTGTCCCTCGTGTGCACAACATCATGTCGACGTGATTTCCTTGGTTAGTTCGGACTCTACTGAGTGGTCCGAGCTTCAAAAGAACGATCCGGACCTTAAGTTCATTTATGAAAGGTTGATAACTGAAGGAATTAAACCAACGAAAGCAGAGATGACAGGTTTGAGCTGGGAGGCCCATTGTGTGTGGTCTGTTTGGGCACGCCTCACTATCCATGACGAAATTCTCTACTATCAATATGGGCCAAATTACCCGAAGCGCATCGTGGTTCCTTTGCCCAAAGTGGACTCCGTGTTGCAACAGCTTCATGCAGAGCTAGGGCACGCTGGGCAAAAGAAAATGGAAGAAGCCGTCGAACAGCGATTCTGGTGGTCTTGCCAACGCAGAGATATTGTAAACTTTTGCAATAGATGTCACGACTGCCTTCGTGCGAAACCACCCCGGAGACCCAACTGTGCACCTCTACAACCAATTTTGACGGGGTATCCAAATCAAACGGTAGCGGTTGACATCATGGGACCCTTACCTATGACGACTCGAGGAAACCGCTTTATTTTGGTCCTCGTCGATCATTTTACCAAGTGGTGTGAGGCCACCCCTTTAGCACGTACTGATGCGGTTACTGTTGCGCGGACTGTTTTTGTACAATGGATCGCACGTTGGGGGCCCCCAGAGCAGATACATTCGGATCGAGGTTCGAACTTCGAGAGTATAGTCGTGTCAGAGTTGTGTCAGTTGCTGGGCATTCGTAAAACACTTACAACTGCATATCATCCACAGGGAAACGGCACAGTGGAACGCGTTAACAGATCTCTTAAGGCACTGCTTAAGGCTTTCATCGACGGACACCATGTGCACGACTGGGATCTCGCTCTTCCACATTGCTTGCTAGCTTACCGCTCCACCGTACACGCCTCGACTACCCAATCTCCCCATTTCATGCTTACTGGTAGAGAGATACGGCTCCCTCTCGACTTAACGTTACCTCGCTTGGCGGTTAACCCGTTGCTAGCCACAAATTACGTCACGAAATTGAGAAATGAGTCACACCGCGCACATCACTTCGCACGAAACTGCTTGGATAATGCTCAGAGGCACCAGAAGGGCTATTACGACCGCAAGGTAGAGGGTACACCCGTGCAGCCCGGACAACTGGTTTAGTTACACTCAACCGTACCATCACCCGGCCATTCATCGAAGGTACATAAGGAATGGGCTGGACCATACGTTGTTAATGAGGTGTATGACGACTGCACCTGCCGCATCACGGACAGTGCCTGTGATGCTCGTCCTTCTATTGTGGTCCACTTTAATCGACTGAAACCTGCTACCCTGAGTTACACTGGCCCGGAGCATACTCGCAATCTTGCATTAACCGTACCAGAGGCTGTTGAGAACGTGGAGATAATGGCTGAGACAACCGATCCGGTACAACAGTTGCCTGCAGGTGTTGAGGACAACACCTAACAATAAGGGGGGAGTAGTGTAGTGCCTCCGCATCAACTTATCCAATGTCCGCTATCTTTTCCTTTCTCTCTTTTTTTTCATTTTCCTTCCCGAGAAACCCCAACACTGATAAACTTGAAGACAATGACTGGTGAACTTTTAACCACTTGTGTACCTACTGTTTTCTTTCCTGAACTCTGTGTTCAAATGCATGGCACGGTAACTATGGGGCTCGTGTTGAATACACCTTTTCCTACCTTCGCTCCGTGTTCTTCACTGCATCCGTGTTCCCTCGTCGAACCCTCTGTTGTGGCCTGTGTGACTGACTGTGTGTGTTCCACTCTTATTCCAGCACGTTAAATTACCGGCCCATTTGCCTTCGTCATCCTGCGCATTACATAGTCATGTCAATAATTAGCCACTCCCACTGTGAAGCAAGGAGGATAGTGGAGGCCTGGATTCTTTGTGACTATGAACTGGCTCTTTCGGAAATAATCGAGCACATCGAAAAATACTGGGATGATCGGTCATATTCCTTTACTCGTTGCAATCGAGCGGTTATGATTCATTCAATGGAAACTGAAAACAATCAGGAGTCACAAGAGCTTTTGCTAAGTAACTTGTAAAATTTGATAGATCAGCATTGTATTTGCAATTCCCTTTATTCAAGGGCGATCAGTACCGTCAAGACTTGACTCAAGAGCCACCGTGGGTCCGTTGTCCGAGAAACACTACATCAGAGTGAACTACGGTGTGGAACGGATTTGTCACAAAAGGCGGAACGAATTGATGGTAAACTTGAAAGGGAAGGATGTGGTGAAGACTGTCAAGGAAGCACAGAATCGACTTATCAAAGATACGCATGAGAATCCCTGCCTCATGGTACTCGAAGGAAGAAGCGCGCTTTCTACCGAGTTCGGGACAAGTCCGATTCAGCGATTTTCATTCATAGACGCTTGACTTTGCCTCCCGCAAGTAAGGTGCTTTTGCAACCCGAGCTAACTGCGACTGCCATTCCACTAAACCACAAGCTTGCACGCAGTGGACGAAGATATGGAAATTGCAACACAAGGAAAAGAAAGAAAGAAAAAAGAAGAAAGGGAAAGAATAAAAAAGATGGATGTGGTGGTAGCTGGCGAGCGAATAGCAATGACCTCAGACTGGTCTACAGCATGCTCGGATCGATAGATTCAAATCGATGACAGTAACGAATTGACTTGGATTACTGAGAATAGTATTCAAGTAATTGCCACTAGAGGATCGACTGGATGAAATGAGTCAACTTGTAAGTAGCTCTACTTGATGGAAGGTATACGATGAGCTTATTTTTCTACAATATGGAAAATTGATCGAAGCCCAAACTTAGATTTTGCTCCATGGTGGGCCATTGTGACAGGAACTTGCTCCTTTGGACTATGTTCTCAATTTACTAGTGAATTTATGGGAGCAGGAGACTGTCCCAACAGACTGGGGCCGCTCTATTATAGTCCCAATTTTCAAGAGTGGCTCCCGTTCCGAATGCGACAATCATAGGGGAATCAGTCTGATCTCCATCGCCTCTAGGTTGCATCCCTGTCGTGCTCCTTAGACTGACTGGCACTCGTAAAAGCCATATAGGCGAGAGACAAGCCGGCTTTCGTCGAAACCAAGTTTGCATTGATCACGTCTTCACATTACATCAGTTGTTGAAGCACTGCCATGTTTATTGGCGACTCATTGTACTCCTGTTCCTAGTCATCAGATGGGCCTTCGACTTGGTAACTAGATATGCCCTTTGGTACCGTCGATTGAAGGTGTATCCAAAGAATATGTAAATATTACCTGAGCGCTGTACACGCATACTTCTGGCAGAGTGAGGGTTTACGGCAAGCTGTTGCCGCCTTCCAATATCTTCAGCGGTATGAAACTAGGTTGGCCGCCGTTACCTTTCCTCTTTAGCTTCGTCGTTGAAGAAGTCATGAACATGGCGTTCGCTGGGCACGACCTAGGTGTGGATCTGCCCCCAGTTGAACGACTTATTTACTTGAGTTACGCCGACGACATTGCGTTCATTTGTGATAGCTCCGGAACACACCAAGTTTTATTGGATAAAATAATTCTGGCAGTCAATCGTTTCGGGCTATGCCTTACACCCTCGAAATGCAATTTTTTTCAAGATTTGCAGTGATCCACTCATGCGCTGATCCTTGCTACTGACAGCTATATTGTCGCCCTTGGGATCCAAGACGAGATCACCAACCATATAGCAAAGCTCGTAGCGCTTATTCTAATCTCCGCCACCTATGGCGCCATCTTGACATTACTCTTGCTCTGCAAGGCAGAGTTTACCATGCAGCCATCCCTTCAACTCTCCTATACGGTTGTGAAGTCTAGCTCATCAAGTTGACGGACTTAAAGAAGCTTGTTAGGTTCGATCATCGCTGTCTTAGCAGCGTAGCTCACGTCTGGTGTGAACACCGCGTGAGCAATGAACGTGTTCAGCGTCCCGTATTTGGTGCAGGAAGAGTGAGTGAACCGCTCAGCACCGTTATATAAATAAATGAATAATATGTCCCTCGGTGATTCGAGGTACAGTTCAACTATGTGATCTGATCAATGGCTCGGCCGTGTTGCTCATGCTAGTCCACCGACTCCCGCGACGTGCCTTGTATGTGTGCCGGGGGTGTGGCTGGAAGATGGGGTGGGGTGGCCAACCGATGACTTGGTCAAGATGAATGAAGGCCATTACTTCGAAGTCTCTCGGCTCCCTCTTTGGAGTCTGAAAAATGATGAACATGTTTGGCTGAATGCACTTCTTAGCATGACCAAGAGCAGACCTCTTTAGTGTTTATGTTACTAGTTTCTTTTCCATCCCCTCTCGCTTCTTTTCCCTCTTCAACCACGATCTCATTTATTATGCTTAATGTAACTCTTTTTTTGCGACACGATAGCCAGCTGTTAGCTCTCCGGGACGTTGCCCACCGGTTACCGGTGACTCAGCATGTTTTTTCTTTTGTATTACGACACATTAGCTGAAGTGTTTTCCACCTCTGGCTAACGTGCGTAATTTATGTTTGAGTTGTCACAAGTTTTGCTCTGAACTCAGCTACGCAAGCGTCTGTCTAACGGTCACTGCTCTTCTTGCGAATACCAAATTCGACGATCGATTCTTTTATTGTTATGAGAATTATAAATTGACGATGTAAAAGCAGTAAATGTAATATACCACTCCAGGATTGCCAGCTGCCCGTGCTTGCTCTCACCACTGCCGGTGATTTCCTGGAAGAAGTCCTCTACTTCATTTATCTAGGGAGTTGCATCACAACTGGCGACGGTGTTGAAGATGAGTTCTCACAATGGATCGCAAAGACCCGCCTTAGATTTATCAGACTGAGACAGCCACGGCGCCGTCGCGATGTCAGTCTCAGTCTGAAGGGCACGGTGTACATTGCTTCTGTCCGTGCGGTCCTCTTGCACAGCTGTGAGACCTGGACTGTTCGTTCGGAAGACATGCCGCGGTTGTCAGTTTTTGACGATCCTTATCTGCGTAGGATTGCTCTCGTGTGGTGGCTTCATCACCTGAGCAACACGGGAGTCCGAGAGCGAGTGTTTGGAGCAAATAGTCCATGCATCCAAACCGTTATTCTCCGACACCGCATGCGTTAGCTCGGGCACGGATTGTTCATGCCTGCCTGTCGCCTTCCCCCTCGAGCACTTTTTATGCTCTGCGGAAACGATTGAAAAATATGCCGCGGGGGGAACCAATGAGTTGAGGAAGGAGCATGAAGTCAACCTCAAGCTTGGCATCCGCCAGACCGATCCGCCTTCTAGGATGGGGACCACGCGACTCGGACTGCCAGTGATTGAAAACACTGCAAGTGAGCGCGCGCAACAGATATCAATGGCAACAATGTTGTCCAACCGCATTGTCTATTGGTTGATGTCTAATCACACGTAAAACTCCGAAACACAAAAAACTCCAAACGGCTTGTGTTAAACCAAAATATCGTTTTCTTCACATGTTTTATTTTCTTTCCCCCTTTTTATCACCATGGTTTGAATGATTCATCGTCTGTAATCAGATTTTGGATATATATGTGAAAACAGTGCAAGTTGTTTTGCCATTTTTTGGTCTTCTAGGTATCTCTTGATCTATTCAGTCTTTTAGCTGCTTCGAGCTTTGTGAATCATGAGCTCTACTCCGACTTTGAATATGGACGCCTGTTGCCCAATTCCCGCCAAGAAACCTCACTTGGACCAGCTCATCCCGGACATACGACCGGCCTGTACTTACGGCAGTCAGTGTTATCGGATCAACCCGGAGCACTTCGCCGCTTATTCTCATCCAGGTATGTATGTGCGTTGTCTGTCGAAACTAACCGATCATATTGTTCACTGCGATCGCCACACACGGTTCTATACAAGGGAGTTTCGTACAGTGCGTGGATCGATGGGTTTTCGGACAGCGATTCCAGTGACTTAGCGGGCAAGATGGATTCATCCGCCTACCATACTAGGTCAAACGATAATGGTGACGTACCCATAAGTTTCCCCAAATCTGCCAACGAGTTTACTTATTCATTGACATTCGAATACACCATCTACAGTACGTGTTAGTCACCATTCAAGTGGGTCCTCGAGTGCCTTTCGATCGACACGGTACCGTTAGTTTGGTCATGCACATTGCCACCCGAGCTAATGTTTTCTACGGTATTTTCGCCACGACAATCAACCTAATCCTAACAAAAACAGGCGCTACGTATGTCAACAATTGTGTAGGTCAGTCATCTTTACAACTTACGAACTGTTAAAATTTCACCCTGAATTCAGCGCAGCTCTGCGTACTTGTTCTTTTCCTTGTGACCAGTGTCACGGCATCGTGTCTCAGCGCATTCAGCACTCAGCAGCTATAGGTAGTTAGGCTACAGATCATGAAACATCCCCTGCCCCATTTTCGCTTACTTTTATTTCCACCTTGTACGTAAATTTCATTAGCTTCAGTTAGTTTCTACCGTTCATCCGTGATCTCGGCGGGTTACTTTGGGTCATAAAACTCTGTACACAAATTCAGCTTTAATAACCACTCCGTTTCGCCACCTGTGTCGTCCTTTCACTCTGAATTTGTCCCACGTTTTTCAGTTGACGCGGTCTATTGTTTATATGACTCTCGTTCATCTATCACTTACTGACAGTTTATTTGGTTTGAGTTGCTTTGCACGACGGCTCTGAATTGCGCTGCACTTGTTCATTCGAACAGACTCTCATCCGCGTGTTAAACTGTCGAGCTCCTCCATAGCTCAGACTACGAAAAATACCGGCGAACGCACTGCGGTTGATTCTCTAGATCAATACGGATTTTACTTGTTTCGCGTTCACGGATTAACTTACGGACGTATCCCCACCACACACCTCAAAGGTTAGTTTGCACTTTTCATGGAACATATGAATTAAGGAGCCGTTACCGATGAACCGTTCGTTGATTTCACGTCTGGCTTCTCGCTCAGCCTTTGAATGATGAATCTACATGAAAGGCCTTCTCGTTGATCCTATGTTCTTTATGGACCTGATCATTTCGTTCGTTTACACCGTCTCCATAGAACATTAACTCTATAGATCATCGTAACCAACGGACAAATAATAGCAGCCTCCTCCGCTCTTATAGTGGCTTACAGGGGACTGTAGGCTACCTAGTTTGCATATCTTGCTTCCCCTTCTTGTGTACCTTGTTTGAACATATTTTGGTTCCTTCGGTTACGAATGAAACGATAGACCGCAGTCAGCAACTGGTTAAATTAAAACACTTGGATTCCGATTTGCTACCCGATTTCCGATCGCGCAGCATCTGAGGCCGTTCGAAATTTGTCAGCTTCAACCTGACAAACTGTGTAATCATTGATGCCCAACTTATACTCTTGCCAATGAAGTCCTCAAAGAAGCAATAGGTAGCATTCTCGGTGGCCAATATTGCGTTCTGAACTATGCACCACATGAGGCGCCGACGGTTCTTCGATTTTCATTTAAGCTTGCCCTTTGTCTACGTTGAATACGTTTGAACCATCTTGTTTTCCCGCCACTGTGCATTACTCACTACGAATGGTCGGTACTTTTTCAAAGGTACATGTAGACCATTTGTTCATTGTTTTACAGTGGCATGTGGTATACGCTGATCAGTTTCCGACTTACAGGTTATGCAGTTACTACCGGCTGCGCGCAAATCATACTAAATAATTGTCCAGATTATGGTCACCTTATTAGGTCCATTGTGGAATGGGCTTAGGGATCTTGCATCAAAAACTGGGGGCATTCGCATTCGGAATAATTAAAACACCGAAACACTGACAACATTTATTTTGCAATTTATTTTGTTTCTGCTGCTCATCCGAATGTATCCCCCTAATGTATCCTCATCGGTTTCGGTTAATGATTGATCAATTAATTAGGTATAGGCCTCCCTTCCATTACTGTCTATATGATTAGTGTTGGCTTCCTGGCTAATTGTAACCGAGTTTAAAGGCGATGCAACTTCCAAATTTTTCAACTGTGACACAAGTATTTGCTGAATGGCCTCTCCTGGTCGTGTCTTTCCTACCCCCCTCGGTCGTACACCATGATATACGGTATCTAACCAGTTGACTTCTTAACCATTTGTGTACAATTCTATAAGAGTAACATGCAGTTGTTCAAATAGTACCCATCACTACTGCTGATAGCCATGTCGATCTCCGTCATCCACCGTCATTCTGAGGCTCAACTACCTGCAGAGTGACTGAATGGTTCAGTTGTTCACCGGTTCGAACATGCTTTGGTACAGTCGACTCTACAGCATTCCAGCCCGCGTGCAACCACCGGTGGTTTCGCGTTGGCGAAATGTCGGTCCGGGATTTCTGCATGCTCCTAATGCTCCTTGACCGCTCAGCGGGTCGAGGGAATACAAGCAAGTGACAAACCTCGTCAAGCCGAAACGACCGTTTACTGCCCTCCGGATGTTGACATATGTCTCTCTGGGCCCAGTTATGCTTAATCTCATTTAAACTCACTAACTATACACACTACCCAATTGGCTCTATGTCTAGTTACTAGACTGTTGAGATAAAAAAAAAACCCAATGCTTCCCTCAGCCCACGCATACACTGTCGTCGAACTCGGTCTTTCAGAGACAAAATAACCAAACAACGAGAAAACACAACATAGCCTGTTCGCACAGCACTTTCACGTATATTGTCTGGCCAGCACCATTCATAATGACGCAGTTTCACCAGCAATGTTCCCCGTACTCCAGTCGGTTAGTGTCGTCGAATCAACAGCGTTTGGTGCGGTCATTAGCCGAGTCCGTTCGGGTTGCATCCGGTCGGATACGTAGGATTTCTCACTGGTCTATCTGCTTTACCCTATTACACTACTCAGATACACACACACACACACCGTCCATGTGACGAATCTATATGCAAATTTGTCACTCGTTATACGATAGACTGAAGCAAAGTTGATGCTTCGCTCAGTACTCATGGCTCCGTTTGGCGATCCAAGTAGTTTGACAGTTGAATGCTAAGCTTACTTCTTAAGTCTCTCACTAGCTGTGTACCAAAACTAGCACGCTGTCACCTTGAATGTTAGAGAGTTTGTACTTCGCTGTATTTATAGCAATCACACTGACTTACTTGGCTTGCCCCTAGTGCGTTTTGATAAGTCACCAACCCGTATCTACGTTGCAACACGGAACAGGATTCGGGTTGAACTTTCAATCTATTTCACTAGGATAAACTTGCCATCGAAAGTGGCAGAATCACTGGACACCTTTTTTCCTTCATATCTGGGTCAGATGTTTTGGCTCGTACGGAAATTTGACCGACATTGTGTAAAGCATCCCACCGGTCGCCCTGTATGGGTTACCTTCATGTGAATTACTACTACTCGTTCTCTTTGCGATCATTACATGTATAATTTTCTCTATCCTAGATGTTTTGCATCCCAAACATGGCGAACTGGTTTCGTCCGTACAGGTACGCCCAATTTGCAAAGTTTTGGACTTGCGTCCTATCTGGCACTAATTTTTGTAGTGCTCTCTTCTTGATGCACACGAGGTATTTCATCATATTTTGTTGAGTTGTAGTTAATCCATTGTTGTTTATCTGATTCTGTGTATTCGGACACTGCGGTAGTTATTTTGCTACTTCCATTTTGACACTATGTTCCGAACTTACCCTTTGTATTTGGTTCAATCGCAGGTTGCCGGCCCGTAGCCTATAGGTAACGAGCTTGTTTCGTAATCTTGCGGCGCGGGTTCGAGCCTGCGTAGGAGCATGGCTACTCCCGCAGTATCCTTAGCCTACGTGCGACTGGTGGTGGTTGCGTGGCTGCGAAGCGTCCTTACTGCGTACCGGCGTATTGCTGATGCCTTCGCAGGTGCCTCTCACTCTGACACACCGCTCCGTTCGTATATTCATCGCTTATTGCAAGTTCCGAAGAATAAAGTAGACGATATACCATCCGAGATTTTAGACGTACAAGCTTCATTAATCAGCGGTTTGTTTATTTGTATGTAGCTCCCAGCCTCTTCATCATTATTATAACTACACATTAGCCGAAGGTGAGGAACACACCTCAACTATTGTGCTGCCATACAAAATGATTTGTGGAAAACAAAGATACTAAACACTGTAAAATATAGAAAACAACAACAGTTTACCTACTGCTTAGTAACGTATTATGCTTCAAAACAGACGTTGTGTTTTTTTTTGGGGGGGGGGGAGGATTCGCGGGATGGAGAGTGGCAAAGAAAATAAAACACAAACGCCATTGCGGTCGGCTTCTCTCCATGTTGGCGGTTGGTTGTTGGCTATTCGTTGTACTACACTAGGATCGCCGAGGCAGGTGTCAGGTGAGTTTCATGGCCACGGTGTTCCATTGAGCACCCAACACGGGGAGCCCTGTCAGCGTCGAATTTCGCCGTCGCCTCATTTTCACGTGAAGTGGATTAGTGACGCGTTTTCCGTTTGCAAACCACGAAACCATTTCAGGATTTCATACACTGGCGGTTGAGCTGTTCGTTGAGCTTGGCAATTTTGTTACAAACGTTTCGTCACCAATGAGGTGACATCGGTGAGAGTGCACTCTCACCGAGGCTCCTCTACAGTACTGCACGCCATTCAACTACGCACTGATGATGTAACCTCGATTGGTGACGAAACCTTTACAACAGAATTGCTAAGCCCAGCGAACAATTCAACCGCCATCTGAACAACCTGTGTTACCAGTCTTCAATTCTATTTCATACAATAAATTGTCACCCAATGTTACGTTAGTGAGTTCACTCATGTTTACCAAAGCGAAACGATTTTTTGTCTGTTGGCTATCATTTAATGGGTCAAAATATGCTGTGTTAGTTTTTCTTTATACACCGTTTTGTGCAGATATATTTTCATTCCAATTGGTATTCATCCTGCTCCACGGAGGTCAACGGCATAGTGCTTTAGGTCGTCAATCGCCAACTATTCGTGCCCCAGTTGTGTCTACACGTAGAGTTCAAGGAAGAACGAAGCTGTTCACTGAAGTTCAGTGTTGGGAGCAACTAGCGTCCAAACGTCTCTATTTCGGATGCGATTGTAATAACCAAGCTTTAAAGTGAATTGTGACCTACATCTTGATTGCTTCTCGCAATTTAAATACACGACGGACATTTCAAAATCAGAGGATGCAGTTCATCTTGCTGCTAAATAGAGCAGCTTGCTCGCTTGGTGTTCTAGCTGGAGGTCAATTGCGTAAGTGACATTTTGAACACCTCAGTTTTACTCCAACCTTTTGGAGAAGCCTTAGGTTCTTATTTACTGAAGTCACCAACCGACGCTGGTTATTGTAGGCAGAGAACGCGAGAGCTACCAGTGAACCACTTGTCCATAAACGTCACCTGCAACTGTTACAGTTCATAGTGCATTTCATTGGATGGTGCCAACTCGACAGCTTTTTCAGTCTTGATTGCATCACATCGCAGGAGTCGCAAACCAAATCTGTGTCGTCTGCGTACCACCGATCACCCAGATTACCCAGATAGAACGTGAACTGGTAAAAATCTATTAATATACGGTTAGCTTGAACTATAATTAGAATATAAGTCAAACCTGCCGAACTTCATTAACCATCTTGAATACATTCACCTACCACCGTAGACTGCAAAAGTTTCGGCTCATTTATTATTCGCACATTTCCGTGCATAAATTAGAGCAGGGCTAAGTGCTCAACTTAGCTAATCTCACTGTTTGAATTGAGGCAAGCACAGATAGTCGATCAGCGGGACATGTGGCGCTACTTGGACGTTTGCAGCAGGAAGAAAATCTTTTTCTTCCAGCCCCTCCAATGTGAGGTGCATGGTCGTTCTTCCATCTAGGATCTCCATCCCACACTGGAGCGACATACCTGAGTGGTTTTCATTAAACTTGTTATTCTCGGTGCCAACACGGTCTTCCTGTGTTCGCATAATCGCTACAGGTACTTTTCTTACCAGCCTAGATCGAATCGTCCCAGTTGGCTACGATGGTCGTTCCTTTCCGTGCTTGTTTACACAAATGAGTAGTTTCTCCTCACAGGTAACCTGAGTTATCACACTAATGCGCGGGCAATATCAAATATTATGTTTTCAAGTTCGAGGTGCAGATAAACGTACGAAGAAATATCACCTTTCTTATATACTTGATTCTAGGTTTACATCGTCCTACGTATAGATTAGTGGCAAAAAGCAACAGACCGAGCGCCAGAGCGCCATTGATTTAGCAGACGTATTATGTCATTGACTCAACTATTCCCAGAGTTCACTAACTTGGTTGCATGACAAGGTATACATCAACTCGGTTATGTATCTCGGTGGCTTCAGCATGGGGTTTGGCCATACCATCTACTGAACACCCACGAGTTTTATGCAACCAGAAACAGTAATGACAAACGGTGTGCACCGAGGTTGTCGACCGACAGACAGGCGAGAGTGGTGACCTATCTAGTCTCGGTGGCGCAAATTCAACCAATAGTCTTGTACTGCACCATAAGATTCGTTTCTGTTGGATCATCTCTCTATTTGAATCCGTTGCCCTCGAGCTCAAATTAACAGCATGAGGGAGCAGCTACCGAAACAGCACATCGTGTGAGAATCAACGCATCAACGCCTGTTAACCGAGGGATATTGAAAAGCCCCCGAGCCTTCACGATCTACGTGGTAATCTCGGCGTCGTTTTGTTTTTATAAGTTTTCCAGTTACCTAGCTAAGTGGTCCAGCCAATCATCTTCACCATCTGTTAGGCAGCTGTAGGGACCGATGGCTTGTCGTCCTAGTCCTGCAGCAACAGCTTGCAGTACAGAAATGCGATTTACCCACTTGTCATGACTCTCGTCGCCATGATAAGTGATTGTTAGCTACGTGAGGTGGTATGCAAGGTAGCATGGTGGAAAGAAACGGTAACTACTATTTAGTTGCAGACTAAATGATAGACGGTTACTTTCAAGGCTTCATCGGGGTCTGAGGTCCAAAATGCGACCACCATCCTTAATCGTTTTCGAGTAGCTGACCCGGATTCCCTTTCACCCACACTATTTATGGAAGTTGGTGAGGTCGTCTGCAAAGCACTGACCTCCCTTTTTGAACATTTCTGGAATGAATCATTTATGGTTGCGATATACAGGAAGGCAGTCGCATTGACTGTGTTAACCACAGAGATATTTCCTAATGCCAGTAGTGACAAAATTACTGGCCTCAGTTCCCGAACGGGAATCCCGAATTAAGGAAGAGCAGACAGGTTTCCGACCAGGAGGTGGCTGTGTAGACTATATATTTACTCTCCTACAGGTTCTAGAGCAGCGCCATACGTAACGCTGACCGAAATTATTTTTCTTTCTCGATTTCAAGAGTGCGTTCGACTCAGTCGGTCGATCCGTTCTTTTCGAGATACTTGCGCGGAAAGGTGTTTCCATGAAATATGTGAACATTTTACTTGTTCTGTACTCGAACACTACAGGTCGCGTTAGGGTCTACGGTGATTTGTCGGATTTCCGACCGCAAATGCTGTTCGTCATGGCTGTCCGATTTCCCCATTTTTATTCGCTTTCCTTGTGGACTCCGTCATGGAGTGTTCCCATGCAGAGCCTCGTGATGGAGGCGTTGAGGTGCCGTCCGGTGGAAGGCTAGTTGATCTTGATTGTGCGGACGATATTGTCTTGCTGTTTAACGATGTCGAGGCGACCTAGTCAACCCCGAATAACATCTATAGAGTGTTACCATCACAGCGTGCGCTTCGCGCCTTCGCTCCTTTAAACTGCGATGTCTTGTTGCAAGATCACCAGCCATCACCATCACCAGACATTTGAAATCGAGGAACTCGAGGTAGTTGCTCAATTCACTTACATTGGCAGTTGTATCAGCAATGATGGGCGCATAGCAATTTGACTCAGTTCACGCATTGCAAAAGCCAGAACTGCCTTCTTGAGTTTGCGACATTTATGATGTCGGAAAGGAGTCTCTCTCGGTTTGAAAGCCCGTGTGTACAACGCCACCGTGAGAGTCTTCTTACGCTATGGGATTGAGAGTTAACGCGTTTAACCTGAGGATCCGAGGTGCCTTCAAGTCTTTGACGATCGCTGCCTGCGAGGCATTGCTGGTGTCGGATGGCACCACCATGTCCACCACGACGATGTGCGTAGAATAATGCTAGATATTAATAAGCAGGTTAGTTTCTCAGAATAACGGATGACACTGAATACGGTGCTTTTGCTTGGTCATGTACTACGTATGCCCGATCACTACTTACTGAGGAGGGTCTTGTTTTGTCTACCAGATGTAGGATGGCGCAAGGCTCAAGGTGGACAGAAGTTAACTTGGCTGTGAAAAATGAAGTCACTGACGACCAAACTGAGTGCCGACGGTCCGTCTCGTCTTCCAGGCTGGAGTCCACGTGACTCACCATGTGATTAGCTCGAGACATTACAGGACATAGCTTTCAGTCCACACCAGTGGCGCGTCTGCTGCCGTCTCCTAGTCGGACTGTCTGTGTAAAGTATGTTTTGTGCTATTATCTGCGCGGTAATGGCTGATTGTGACACGGGGCAGTGAATAGGGAAAGGAAGCTGTCTCACCGATGCCGCCTTATTTCTGCACGATAGCCAGCTATTTGTGACTGTTGTTGACAAGGTATAGGCACCTTGACTGATTATTTGCTTAGGGGCTTAGAGTTTTCCGGTTAGTACCCCTTTTCTCCCTCTCACTGTTCTTCGCTTCGTAGTTGTAAAGTAACAAAGCATCAGTTCAAATGGCTGATCTACTGCTGATGTTATGTTGTTGATGATGATGATGTTTGAAAGTTAACGGTTAAATACCAGGGACCTAATTCAGGGGTACCTTTGTCTCACTTTTGTCCACTCCGAGAATTTACCAAACCATTTGAGCGATAGCAAGCAGTATGCACCGATGTCAGCGGCCATCGGGGTCGCGCGTAAACTGGTCAGCTTGAGCGATTCCAGTGTTACAGACGATCCTATGTGGCACTAGAGATTTTCTTTCTACACTTTACCTGATGGCTCTCAGTATTGCTCACTGTATGCCCCCACCAGATATTTACACGATTCCTTACAGTCGGGAGGTGCAACGCATGTGCCAGGATGTGATACGCTCAGCGCTTGCATGGACCATCGCAATATGGCTGGATCTTGCCGTGGTACGATGGCTTGCGTGCCTCAACGTTCCATTGAGCCATGCTGCGTGGTGCTTTTTGCACCTTCGGAGCCGCTCATACTAGATTCGTCAATGGATAGAGGCTAGTCGTACTCAGTCTCTTGGTCCTTCTGGTTAGGGAGTGGAGTAAGGGTGGCTCCTTCTTCTCTATAACGCACTCCCTGTAATACACTGCCAAAACCGCTGTCTTGCGGTCAGATTTTCGTACCAGTGACTTTGGTTGAAAACCTTAATGGTTCTGTCTAGGCCTGCGCAACCTGACAATATCCTGTCCACGCAATACGACACTATGACTCTACTTCCAAAGCATTCCTTGATGCTCTGGCCGTCGCGATGGATAATTAACAGCGCTCTATCTACTGCATCGAGCAAGGCGAATAAGGTTCTGGATTATACTGCTCAGGCCTTCCCGTCTTCTTATTCCACTTTTTATGCTTCTTCGCCCTTATCGTCCCGTTCTCACTTCCCTTTCACTCCCCTCGTTTTCAATCCCACAATTCTTAGCCCTCCCCCATTTTGCTTTGATAGGCGTTTCGTTTCTAGTTTTAACTCACATGCAAACGGGGAGCATCACTCCTACCTTGTCGACAAGCCCATGTCCAACCAAGCGGTCAAACCCAGTACATGGGCTTCTATTTGGATTCCTCGATCATCCCTCCGATTGGCATACCTCAAGGTACTCACATTGTTACAGATCGGTCAACAGACTTCACTTGCCCGAACATTAGAGACTCTCGATCGATATCTGCTGCCTATCATAAACCCGCCTACAAGCCTCAAGCTCTGTGCTCGCTTTGCGATCCCCTTTAGGTGGCAATAGCCGTGCTTTCTTCTTACGCCTATTTGGAGACGATGCAGCTTCGAGTTCTAGCCAAGCCGGCGTCGTTATTGCCCTGAGTCCCCGGGCTGGAGCTGCTCCGGTTGATTGGATCCCAATCAATAGCCCAATGTGTGCGGTCCGATTGGCTGGCTCGCTCAAAGCTTCGAAGTCGCCCGGGACTAATAGGTATCTGTGATTGCTGCCTACGCGCCCACTAACTGTCGCGATGAACGAGCTGCTTCGCCACAGAGAAAGCATGGACATTAGTGTTGGCTGGGGATCTGAACGCTCAAGTTAGACAATTGTTCACTTATGAACTGCATCTGGGTGGCCAGCACGGTGTAGGCTCCCGTAATGATAACGGTGAGTGGTTACTTCCTTTGTGTGAAGACGTCCGCTTGTTTCTTGCGAGCACTAATTTCCGATACAGCTCCTGCCTGAGGGTGATATGGCGGCCATTAGCCTCGAATCAGCTCTGGATGCAAGTCGATCACATTGTGATAACTTACCGATGGAGAAGCTGCGTCCAGAACTGTCGCTGTATTTGGAACACGTGTGTGTACAATGATTATGCACTAGTATTTGCTGATCTGCCGGTGTGTTTTGGCGGACTCCCACGACGACCATGTGAGTGCATAGGTACTTGGCAGCTGGCGAAGCCAGATGTTCTGAATGCGTATCGAAGTGCGCTGACATTCGGGTTGAGTAAATGCTCGTTGAAAACAGTTGAAAGTCACTGGTCGTCTTTTCACCAGACCTTAATAGCAGCGGGCACATCCTCATGTGATAAGTCCAATAGACAACATGCACATTGAGTCTCTTCGCAGTCTCTGGACGTTATCAATGCTCGCCGGCACATTCCGGCTGGAAGCGAACACAATGTGACTGAGCATTTTGAGAGGCATTTTAATCGACCGCAATTATTAGATTCCTCACCGGCGATTGACCGCCCTGCTCCATGGGCTCTCTTTGGATCCGCGCTCTGCTACAGAATTCAAACTTGAGATCGGAATGCTGAAGTCGAAAAAGCCGCGGTACCAGATGATCTTCATCCAGCCTTCTTCAATTTTGAGGGCCGTGCTTTTGTGGATGATTTACACTAGTTGCTGGTGAAACTGTAGGAGCAGGAAACTGTCCCGACAGACTGGAGCCACTCCGTTATAGTCCCAAGTTTCAAAGGAGGCTCACTTTCGGAATACCACAACCATAGAGAAATTAGTTTGATCTTCATCCTCTCGAAATTGCTTGCCTCTGTCTTTCTTCACACACTGACGCACTCATGAAAGCCAGATTCATGAAGAGCTAGCCGTGTTTCATCGAGGTCTTGTTTGCATCGATCACATCGTCACTTTTCGTTAGTTGTTGGAGCACCGTCACGTATATTGGCGGCTCACCGTTGTCATGTTCCTCGATATCAAAGGTGTCTTCGATTCGGTTGATCGATGTTCCCTGCTAAGGTGTGTTCTCAAGAAATACATAAATATTATCCGAGCGTTATACACGCGTAACTCGTGCAGGCTGAGGGTTTACGGCAATCTCTCGCTGCCCTTCAATATCTCCAGCGGGGTGAGACATGGATTTCCGCTATCACCTTTCCTCTTCAACTTCGCTATTGGCAACTTCATGGGGATCGCGTCCACAGGATATGACTTGGAAGGTGTGAATTTGTCCCCATGTGAAATACTTATTGGATTGGAATATGCTGACGATATTGCCCTAATCTATGACAGCTCCCAAACGTGGCAAGCAACACTGGACAGGTTAGCACCGGCAGTCAGCCGTTTCGGGCCATACTTTCCACCTTCGAAGTGCGAGCATTGGCAAGGGCTGCCTCCTGTGTTGACCCATTTTGGGGATCAGCTAGAAGTCCTTCGGGAATTCCACTACCTAAGCAGTTGTATGAGTGCTCTTGGGACTGAAGACAGAATCACGAACAGTATAGCAAAAGCTGGAGGCGCATTTGTTAAACTTCACCACCTTTGACCCTGGCGCGACATTGCTCTCTCCCTAAAGGGTAGAATGTACAATGCAGCCGTACGTTCGACCCTGCTGTACGGTTGTGAAACCTGGCCCATTGGATCAGCAGACATAAGGAGGCTAGTTACGTTCGACCACCGGCGGCTTCGCAGTTTGGGTAACATCTGGTGGGAACACCGCGTGAGCGACGAGCTTGTTCGACGCCTTGTTTATGGCACAGAAAGAGTAAGTGAACCGCTCAGCACCGTTATATCACGCACGAGGCTCCGATCGCTGGGTCACGTGTTGCGCATGTCAGCCCACAGACTCCCGATATGTGCGTAGTTTTCGCGGGGGGGGGTATGTAAGGAAGAAGGAGAGAGGTGGCCAAGTGATGACTTGGTAAAGAGGAATGAAGGCCCCCAGTTCGCATTTGGCCTCGGTTGGGGCATATAGACTCCGATGAACACATTTGGCTGAATGCACTTGTTGACATGGCTATGAGGCAACCTCATTGTTTGTCGTGTTGTGAGTTTCTTTCCCCCTCCCTATGTATCTTAGCCTCCCGCTCCAACTGCAATCTCATTTTCGAGTATAATATCAAATTTTCACAATAAAAACTTACTGTACAGTAGCAGGCTGGTAGCTTTCCGGAGTATTGCCCATCCGTTACTGGTAGCTCAGTCGGCGTGCGGCTGTTGTATGTTCTCTTTATTTTTCTAGGTATTGCGGCACAGTAGCTGAGATGTTTACCACTTCTAGCTAAGGTGTATAACGAATAATGATAATGAACCTGTTCACGAGTTTAATATACTGTCTCTGCACTCTAGTTGCGTTCATTCTCTCTTCTGTTTGGGCCTTTACTTTGGATGTTTCCATTGCATTGTTTTCCACCGTCATTATGATCCCAGTGTTAAGGGAAGCGATTTAAGTTTACCCTTGTACACACCGCTTGTCGGTTGCACTTAGAGGATTGATTCTCCGTTGACTCTTAAACGTCGGCGTGTGACGCGGCATACCGAGCTCAGCTTAGAAAAGAATATCTTCAGCTCACCATTCGAAAACAATCGGCGCGGATCTTACTTGCGCTAAGTCGAGACAGCTTAGATCAAGCTTGAAGGCAATACTAGGGGCGTGCATTTGTGATTATCCTGTATGCAACTGCATCCTCAATGCGATCATTATCGTGATACATGCTAGCCTCGGATCTTACTGCTTTGCTCCTTATGATGAGCCACGGGGCTCACAGAATTATGATCTTTCTAGTTGTGAAATTTGGTTGACAGCCCTTTATTACCTATTGTATAGCCCTACTAATTTTGGTGACATGATTTCATTAAGGATACGAATACTTTTTGTTCGATACTTGTCACAACTTCTTGTTCTAGTTCAACTACATGTTTGACGTGGATTGGCTTGTGGAACAGTACCCGAAGGAATTCAGGTGAGTTTTATCGCGATGGTCCTGATATGAATGTGGTACGTTGGTATGCATGGTATCTTTTATATTCGGTACATTTCTCTCTAGGTGAGAAGCTACGTCCATATTTTCCGCAAATCAAATATGTATAGATAGTACCATGCCCTTGCATCATCATCATCATCAACAGCAGTACATCAGCCATTTGAACTGATGCTTCGCTGCCATACAACCACGAGGACCTATGAAATAAAGAATAAGAAGAGAGAGAGAGAGAAGGGGGACTTACCTGAAAACCTTAATGCCCTAAGCAAACATTCAGGGTCAAGGAGCCTACACATTGTGTCACAAACAGCTGGCTGTCGTGCAAAAATAAGGCGGCATCGGCGAGACAGCTTCCTTGCGGCTTTCACTGCCACGCGTCATAATCAGCCGTTATCCCGCAGATAACTCAGCACCAAACATACTTTAAACAGGCAATCCGATTAGAAGACGGCAGCAGACGCGCCACTGGTGTCGGTTGCGAGCCATGTCCTGTAAAGTCTCGAGCCAAGCACAAGGTGAGTCACGTGGACTCCAACCCGGAAGGCGAGACGGACCAACGGCACCCAGTTTGGTCGTCAGTGACTTCATTTCGCGCTGCCAAGTCAACTTCTGTCCACCTCGAGTCTTGCACCATCCTACACCTGGCAGACTAAACAACGCCCTCCTAGGTAAGCGGTGACCAGGCATGCGTAGCACGTGCCCGAGCCAACGCAACTTATTCAGCGCTATCTGTTGTTCTAGGATGCTAGCATGATTATCACTATCTAGTACTCGCCTACGCACAACATCGTTGGGGATACGCTGGTGCCATCCGACACCAGCAATGCTTCGCAAACAACGATGATCAAAGACTTGAAGGCGCCTCAGATCTTCGGACCGAAGGGGCCAAGTTTCACTACCATAGAGCAGAACGGCCCTCACTGTGGTCTTGTATCCACGGCCTTTCAGACGGAGGGCAACTCCCTTCTGTCGCCAAAGATGACGCAGGTTCAAGAAGGCAGCTCTGGCCTTTGCAATGCGTGAGCTGACGTCAGTTTCTATGCGCCCATCATTGTTGATGCAGCTGCCAAGATAAGTGAATTGATCAACCACTTCGAGTTCCTCGTTAGCAAGCGTCAAGGGGTCATCAAGTGGCTGGTGGTCCTGCAGCAACACTTTGCACTTTGAAGGTGCGAAGTGCATACCAAATAATGGGACCACTCTTGATAGGCTATTCAGGGTTGATTGGGCCGCCTCAACTGTCGAAAAGCAAGACGATATCATCCGCATAATCTAGATCAACTAACCTTTCACCAGGCAGCACTTCAACGCCTACATCGTTGGATTCCGTCAGGGAACACTCCATGATAGAATCCACGACGAAATTGAACAAAAACGGGGAAATCGGACAACCCTGTCGAACGCCACTTGTAGTCGAAAAGCTATCCGATAGGACGCCATAGATCCTGACGTGGCCTGTAGTGTTCGAGTATAGAGCACGAAGGATTTTCACATATTTCGTGGGAACACCTTTTCGCGCAAGTAATTCGAACAGAATCGATCGATCGACTGAGTCGAACGCACTCTTGAAATCGAGGAACACAGCTATTGTCGGTCTGCGGTCTGCGTGGCGCTGCTCTAGCACCTGCCGCAAAGTAAATATATGGTCTATACAGCCACGTCCTGGGCGAAAAGCGGCCCGCTCTTCCTTAATCTGCGATTCCCGTTCTGCAGTGAGGCGACCAACGATAATCGAGGCCAGTAATTTTGTCACAACTGGCGTTAGGCTAATACCCCTGTGGTTCGCACAGTCTGTGCGACTGCCCTTTTTATATATTGCCACTATAATCGATTCGCTCCAATTAGCCGGCACACTCTCTTCGTTCCAGATACGTTCGAATAGGGAGGTCAGTGCCCTGCAGTGGACCTCACCTCCATCCTTAAATAGTGCAGGTGGGAGGGAATCCGGGCCAGCGGCACGAAAACGTTTGAGGGGTGTGATCGCCTTTCGGACTTCGGCCTCCGACGGAGTCTCTAAACTAACCGTCCATTGCACGTCCTGCATCACCTGAGTAGGAAGAGGTCTGGGAGCAGGGGGCCAGCTGAACTGATCTTCAAAGTGTTCGGCCCCACGATCCATAAGGCGCTCCTTATTGTGTATCAGCGTACCCGCGCTGTCTCTGATTGTCTCACTGACGCCTGGTTTTCTGTGACCAGTGGAGCGGATTAGCTGGAAGAGCTTCCGGTAATTACCTACTGCTCCTGCCTCCTCCATTTCTTGAGCCCGACTGGTCCACCAGGCTTCCTTGTCAGCACGTAAGCTCCGCTTTAGTTCACGCCTTATAGCCCGTTTAATCACATTGTGTTCAGAACCAGCCGGGAGGTGTCTTCTAGCTTCCAACAGGTTCACGGACCTCTGGGATATCCAGTGACTGGTGCGGTGACGATTGGTAGTGCCACAAACAGATGCTCCTGCGTCGTGCATGGCGGCCGAGATCCTATTCCACTGAAGTTCAGTGTCATTAGGACAAGACAGCGAGAGTTCGGTATGCAGTGCTTCTTGATAGGCTTACCTGACCGAGGGCTGGGACAATTTCTCCGTTCCCAATAAGGGGGAGACGCTTTGTGCGCCTTCCGGTAAAGTTCATGGAGAAACGACAGCGTACCAAGGCATGATCAGAGTCGACACAGGTACTCCAGTACGAGCGGCAATCCAGAATGGAACCGCGCCACCTGTAGCCTATGGCTATGTGGTCAATTTGGGTCCATCGCTGGCCAGCTACAGGTGGACGCCAAGTGGCACTTCGGCGCCCACTGTGTCTAAAAGTAGTGCTACTAAAAAATAAATGGTGCTCCGCACACAGTTGCAGCAGGCGCTAGCCGTTGTCAGTCTCTTCGAAGTTAGACCCACAATTACCACCCAGCTGAGCTTCTGAAGAGCTCAGACGCCCTACTTGTACGTTCATATCCCCTGCAAGTACTGTAATATCTGAACTAGTAGCACTGCGTAGCAGCGCGTTCAGTTCGTGATAGAAAGTGTCCTTGACAGCATTAGAACTGCAGTCGGTGGGGGCATAAACGGAAATCACAAACAAACAGCGTTTTGTAGTACTTCCTGACTAGACCTTAGCTGATGTCGTCAAACGGGCTGCACATAAACGGCTGTTCACCGGAATCCAATCAACCAATGATGACTCAGCCTTGGAGCTGAGAATGATACCTACACCAGCTTGACCCGTGAGGGCCGCATCGGCGTCTCCGGATGCGTGCAACCAATAACAAGAGGATAAGCCGGGTGCAGTCAATTCAACAACCCCATTAGGGTCATTAATCCTAGTTTCGGACACACAACACACATCAACACCCAGTGTGTCCAAGATGCGTGCGAGTGCAGCCTGTTGACCTGTTTGTCTTAGAATGCGGACATTGAATGTCGCCATGGAAACGGGACAGTGTGGCCTTATAAGGGACTTTTGCCGATAGTCGTCCGATGGGTGCTGTGGGATGGTGGCTGCAGATGGTACTACTCCAGTGGCACTTCATTTGCTGTCAATTAAACTGGGAATTGTAGAAGGAAGGTTAGTAATGGGGGCATGGATGGGAGTAAGAGAAAAAGGTGGAAAAGAAAGAAGGGAGGCATCAGCAGTAGCATGTTTTTGCTTATCCGCCCTGCTGTATGCAGCAGATAAGGCGACCCTTGATAATCTGGGCGACGGCCGATGCAGGATGAAGTCTATGTTTGAAGAAAATGTCATGGTTGTACGTAGGCTGAGATATTGCTAGGGCGCCCATACCTAGACAAAAGGACGATTAGGATCCTTAATCAAAGCCTTTGGCTCAAAAGCCTGTCCGCAAGGCAGCGGGGTGGCAGGGATTTAGTTTTACATAAATGGACGCCATCCCATTTCAACCCCCCAACCTGGAGGACCAGGAGACTGAGTTTGTCTGACCTCTCACCATTGACCAAGGGGGTAGGAGTAGCTCTCAATGTGCCCGGAGGCATCACCCAGTATAGCTCAATGGGCCAATGAGTTACGCAAACCGTTGCACCACGTTAAGGTCCAGTCTCATTGCCCTTGCATGGGCAATATTAATTTGTGGTGAATAAAAAACAAACATATATCTCTCCTCGGCGCGACGTACAGTCCAACTGCACATTACGATTCTTAGTGTACGGCAAAATCGCAAGGAACAGATGTATTTTTTGAATTTTTCACAGCAGTCCTCTTCCGTTTTGGCGGATATGTCCAATTGGTCTGTCAAATCTTTCGGGATCATAGTGAGATTTTAAAACAAAATATGTGTAATTAAATAAAACATATAAGTGAAATAATACGGCCATTACTGAGACCGCCTCTTGGGGAGCTGTTTCCATTCGGGTTATTCTCTTGATGGATTTCACCTGCACTTCCATGCCCCATCTGGCCGTGTGCCGGTGTGGCTATAAAGCAGGTAAGCCATCACTTATGTAACTCATCATTATGACTTTTTCTGTGTATATTATGTGGGTAGTCAAGCCACCTAGCCTGTAGTATCAAGTGGATTTTCCTGAGTTAAGCACTTTTTTATCGCCGGGGAACCAATTGCAATGCGCCTTGCACGGGTATGCTTATTAGTATTGGAAGCTTAAATGCTTCACCTCAGAAGATCGACCCTGTGATGTGAAGAAGAATATAAAATATGTGCACAAGAAACCGACCAAATGGTACGGGGGAAGTGTCGGAAACGGATGACTGCTCGAAGTATCGATATGGTAGATAGTTTTGAAAATAATTTTCCGACACATCATAATCATTTGCTTGCGTTCGAAACGTACAAGAATTGACAGCGTTGAGCAATGCGACTTGTTCTCTGGTCCTGGGCTTTCGCCTTCGCGACAGAAAAAGCACTATTTGTCATTACAGTAGGAGTGTAAAAGGGTAGTCAAAGTAAACGAAAATAAATGAATAGTTTATTTCTCGGTCATGGACCATGGGGTTATTCCGATCACATTTGTACTT